ATGACAGTACTGACTGCTCTTTGCTTGGGTGCATGTGCTTCGGTGTGCATACTTCCCACTCTTTTTCTCTCTGTCTGTGTGACTTGTTGTTGCTATTGAAGTTTTACGGCACTGAAAGAAGGAAGGGAAGAGCGGCGGGAAGCACATCAGGCAACCGCTTCGTTTAGCCCACCTCTCTTGTAGTGTGTCCCGTCGCATATTACTAGGTTTTTTTTTGTGGTGACTTGGTTTCATTTATTAACTGTCTTTTTTTTCCCCCCTGTCTCGTCCGCTTTCTGCGTCGTTGTCGCCTTGGGATTCTTCTTCTTGGCTATCACTCTGCATCTTACCGTGTCCCTGCTGCATGCAACCTCTGACGGATCTTTTGATTTTTGTGGGCCCGAGCGGGGGAGGGAAGTCGACGCTGATTGCGCACTTACTACGGATTTGGCCACAACATTTTGGCTTCTGCACGAGTCACACAACACGCAAGCCGCGGGGCGGCGAGGTCGAGGGAGACCACTACCACTTTGTGTCGAGGGAGGCCTTCAAACACATGATTCACCACGAGGAGTTTGTGGAGTACAACAGGGTCTTTAGTTTTTCCGGTCCAAAATACCAGGCGAACGCCAGAAACGAGAGTGGTAGTGGAGGGGGCGGCGTCGTGCCTGCAGAGGATGACGCAGATTACTATGGCACCTCCAAACGAGAGCTCCACCGCATTCTTTCTGAAAAGAAAATTGTGGTGCTGGACACCGACATCACAGGAGCCATCAATATTAAACGTTACTGCGACAGTTTTGCTCACGGCGGCAGCCGTCCTCAGGCGGCACCGCTGCGGGTTCAGGTCGTACTGGTGAAACTGCCCAGTATGGATATACTTAAAGAGCGCCTGCGTCGGCGGGGCTCGGAATCCGGTGCGTCGCTGCAGAGACGTCTCCGTGCGGGTGAGAAGTTGCTGGAGTGGTGCGCGGCGCATCCGGATTTTTTTAGCTGCGTGCTTATGAACTCTTCCCTGGACACCTGCGAGGCGGAGCTGCGCGCATTTGTGGGGAGGAGCGTGTTGCAAAACGCCTGCAGGCTCTAGGCAGGGATAAGGGCAGGGGAATATATATATATTTTTTTTATTGCGTGGGCGGTGAGGCGACATGGGCGCGAGTAAAGACAACGCACAAAAAGATGGCAGAATGGAAATAAGCCGATGAGGTACGTAATGCGTTTAAAAGTTGCTTCGCGCCGGCTCTGGGGCCGGGCGCAGTAACGAGGGATTGGGCAGGGCAGGGCAGGGCAAACGCCGGCCCTCTGCCTACTGAGGGAATCCACTGTGCTCGCATGGCCGTAACGAAGGATTGCGGTTTATTGCAATGAAAATAATAATAATAATAATAATAATTAAAATTAAAAAAAATAAGATAAGTGGGCTGTGAGAGTGACAGTTCGTGCCGTGCGCTGTGTGTGGTCTGAGTGAAATTAAGAGAGGATAGTATTTTTATTTGCCTCCTCGTCTCTTTCTCTCTCTGCTATGGGTGTTGGGTGTGGTGGGGCGGGAAGCCTTACTCATTGTTCTTGTTCTTTACTGGGGGGGGGGGGGCAACCCCAATTAAATCAGCGTGCCCGCCTCCAACTTATTACTGTACATATTGCGCAAAAGGTAAGCCTTTGAAAGCTCACCCGCCCACACACCCACCCACACACGCACGCAAAGACGCAACGGCGAACAGAAACAACAACGCACAAACTCCTTTGAACCAATTGTTTATGCTTGTTTTTACGTTCTGTTGCCTGTTGATGGGTCGGATTATATATATATATATAGATGTGTGTGCTAGACTGCGTGAGTAAGAGTGCGTCTCAGTTGATGTGATGATCAGGGAATGAAATAGGCATGTGGCATTCGTTGCGCGTTCCTTCTTTGCTCTTTCCCCACACGCATGCTTGCCCGCGCCCAATACAAGCTTAAACTCACTGTGTGCTTTAGAAGGGTCTCTGCTATTCTTTATCTCTTCTCAGTCAATGGCTGTGAACCTGCTGCTCAAGGCTTGTCAAGATGGCGACGCGTACAGTGGGCTCCAGGCGTTCAAGGCGGCGCTTCAACGCAAGCTTCGACTCCGCGATGAAGCGGCGACGCACGCCATGTTTATTGACGCATTTGAGCAGGCAATTGTGCCTTTCCGTTGCGCGGAGGCTGTTTCTGAGTTGTCTGTCGAACTATTTTCAACACTGAGGGAGTTTGGGCACAATGGTGACCCTGCTGGCTTCCGGCTAGTGCGTGCCATCCTAAGCTGCATTAAGAGCGTCCCAGAGGAAGAAGCCTCGGTGGCGTGGTGCCGCGCATATGTGCAGTTCCTCGTAGACGCACTCGGCTGGTGGCGAGCTGGCAGAAACCTTCAGGACCACACGGACGAAATATATTCTCTAGATTTCGTTAAGCTTCTTAAAGAGGAACTCACTCGTGCTTACATGCTTCTCGCCAAGCAAACGGAGGGCGACGGAGAGGTGTCATGTGAGGCGCTCGCAAATGCGTACAAGGCAAGTCTTTGCTGCGCCTCGAGCAGGGATCTGATTATGTTGTTGGTGGAAAAGGTCCGTCTAGAGCTTACGCAGACGGAGCGGGACTTCTTAATTGCACGCACCCTCTACGGCGTCCTCTCGGCGCATGGGGAGGCGGAGACGTCACCGCAAAGTGCACTGGCGGCGGCCAACTTATTGCTGTCTTCTGAGGCGGTGCCGCCTGAACGCGCCGCGCTGGAGAGTTTTCTCCGTGACGTACTGCTCATTTTCAACTATGTCGCCACGAGGCCAGCCCTTCCCTCAGGGAAGGAGTTGGGAGGAAATGTGATCGAGGCACTCTGCAGCGCCTACAGCTCGACCTTGTTGCCCGTTTCCGACTTGGATTGGGTGGCGCTCTTGCGGGCCTTCCCTACGGAGAGCGAATGCGCTGTTGCAGGCGCACCGACGGAGAGAGAGAGAGAGTGATGAGAGGTGGTGGGCATTAGGACGGCTTTTAGTGTGCGTGTTTTTTTTCTGTGTAAGGGCTGCGTGCGTCTGCCAAGAAACAGCCAGATGAAACGAAAAGGCAGCAAACAAACAAAACAAAAGAAAAATGGAGTTGCTGGCAGTCAAAAGCCCAAGAGGGAAAGTAAAAAAAAAGTCCATAGTGCGTCTTTGTCTTTTCCCTCTCCGACTTTGCGAAAGGAGTGTTTATTTCAGTCTCTGCCTCTTTTTTGTGTTACTTTCCATTGCGGGGCCGTTTCTCTTTCGCAGTGGGGTGCAGATACATAAAGTTTAGCGTTGGGCTGGGCGGTAGGGGCGGCGAAGGGAGGAAAGGGGTGGACACGTACGCGTACGCATACACGGCCTCTGTTGTTCGACGCATGGAGGAGGGAGCGGCGGGCACCGCATCCCACTCCCGTGAAGTCCCCGCCGACAACGCCGGCAACAGCGGTGCGTTGGAACAAAACCTCACAAGGGCACTGTCGTCCTTGTCCACCACCACCGCGACTGCCGCTCCCGCCTCCCCGGTGATGATGTCGATGGCTGCGTCCCTCCTTGACATTCGTGAGCGCCGTAATTGGCTCATTCACCAATTATACGTGCGTCAAGAATATGTAGATTGCCTCAGCGTGATAGAGGCGCAGCTGCATGAGAGCGAGGGAGTTTGCGAGTATGCGTTGTACGTCAAGGGACTTCTCAAGAGACGGACTGGGGAGCTGACGGAGTCCCTCAACCTTTTCCAGACTGCCATGCTGATCAATCCGCAGAATCCGGCAAATCAGAGACAGGTTGGTCAGGCGCTCTTTTTTCTCGGGGAGCACCGCGCGGCGATTGACATGTTTCACGAGGCGCAGCGTGTACGCGAGGTCAACGGCGTCGGCGATGACTGGGTTATTCAGTATAGTATTGGGATGTGTTACATGTACCTTAAAGACTACCAGGGTGCGGAGATGGCGTTTGTAAGGTCCCTCGCTGTCCAGCGACACGACTGTACCATGCTGCAGCTGGGTAAGGTGTTGGTGCTGCAGAGGGATTACCCCAGGGCCATTAAACTCTACGAGGAATTCTTGCAAACGTCTCCCGACAATGTGCAACTTCTGACAGCGCTGGGGCTGTTGTACCTGCAGGTGGACAATCCCCCGCAGGCTTTCCACTACCTCGGCAAGTGTCTCACCCTAAACTCATCCAACCCCACAGCTATTATGGCGGCTGCCAGCGTCATGCAAAACAACGGGGACTTTAGTGTGGCCTTGAACAAATATCGCGTAGCCGTGGCGAAGCTGCCACATTCTGCGCTTTTATGGAGCAACGTTGGAATGTGTTTTTTCGCTGAGCAAAATATGCACGCCGCTGTTGCGTGTTTGCGCAAGGCGGTTGCCTTGGCGCCCTTGGAGTGGCGAATTGCGTACAACGTGGGGCTGGTGTTTCTGCATCTGAAGCAATACGCCTCGGCGTTTCACTACCTTTCCGCCTCAACGTACCTTCATGGGACATACGCCCCTGCCTTTATGCACCTTGGGGTTTGCCTTGCCCTCATGAACGATGTTGATAACGCATGTGCGGCCTACGCGCGTGCGCTTTCCTTAGAACAGGACCCACTCATCTCGCTGAACTGCTGCATTACACTGCTGAACTGCGGGCGGGAGGAGGAGGCGCGGAAACAACTTGCCCAATTCACGCAGCTCTGGCATGAACTGCCTGAGGCCCAGCAGCAAGCTTTGGGACTGGCGGTCCCACGCATGACAAAACTTCTCATGGAGCGGCTAATTGGCCCCGGCGAGGCAGCAGGCGATACAGCCGAGGCTCCAAACGAATGAAGGTGTGAAGTGAAGAAAGGGAAAAGGACAACAACAAAAAAAATGAAGGTTGGAACAGGTCAGATGGGGAAGGGAGCGAAGCAACACAGCGACAAACCGAGAATGACAAGAAACCGGCATGCCGGAGGGCCAGACGAGACGAGAGAGATGCAGCCGTCTGGAGTGGAGTGGAGTGGGGGGAATTGTTGGATGAGGGAGAAACCGCTTTCCCTTGCGGTAGCCTTCACTATCTGCGTGGCTTCAGCGGGCCTCTGGTCGCCGGGCTTTTCGCGCGCCACCGCGCCACTTTCCTTTTCTATTTTGATTTCCCGCATCTGGTGCCACTTTCGCCTTCCCTCTCTGTGTATGTGTCTGCGCATGTGCCGTACCGACCTTTCTCTTACCTCATGCCCCCCCCCCGCTTCTCATATATATATATATATATATATTTTATTTTGTTGCGTGGTGGCTCCACTCAACTTTATTGCTTCGCCCTCGCCCTCGCCCCTTGACCACTGGAACAAAACCTCCTTCGCGCTTTCACTACGCCAGCAAAGCCTCTGGCCGCATTGCCAGTAGCACGGCCATTACTCATTGGGCCGAGGGATAAACAGAAGGATATATATATATATATATTATTATTATTATTATTGGGGAAGAACACACACCGGCAAAGCTTAGGGGTAAAAAAAAAAGAGGCAAACTTACTATTGTAGGAAAGCAACAAAAAATAAAAGCCACAGGAGAAAGAAGCAAGGGGAAAAATAATCGAAAAGAAGGATCGGCCATTTAACCTACAGGGACTGTATTGTATAAATTGAGTCGACACTCCTCTCAGAAAATGGATGCGGCCTCGCTGCTCCGCGAGGAAATTGCTCGACTTCGCGAAGAAGTTGACCGCAGCTCCTGCTACACCGATGAAAGTTCGTTTAGCGACGCCCGGGCTGCCCTAATAGATGCGCTGGATAGCCATTACGGTGGGTCGTACGTCATGTATTTTATCTCCTGCTTCACGGTTCCGCTCGTTTTGTCCTTCATCGTCCTGCTATTATATTTCTGCGTAACGATGATGAATGAGTGGAGGGTGCTGCGGCGCCTCTTGCAGCAGATGCGCCATCATCCTCTCATTCTGCAGGAACTACACTCTCGGGAGTTGAGTCAAGCATCGCGCCGAGCCGCGCGTCGACGTACCTCTTTTGTGATTATCCTAAAGTGCTTGCTTGCAACATCTGTGCTCTTTGTCTTTATAGGGTCGCGTGTCATGATGGAGGCGATGACTCGAGGGTGGCTGAAAAATATTTTGGTTTCCCCAAGTAACGCTATGGATGACACCGCCGCTGCCGCTAAAGCTTCCCTTGACCCTTGGTTTGAGCTTTACTCGGACCTTATGATGCTTCTCAGTGTGGACTGGTTCAGGGATGTCCAGGGTCTCTTTATTTTCTCCTTCTTTGGTTCCAGCATGATGGTGGTCGGCCTGCGCCTGCTTCGATCCGCCTCTGAGGATGTTGTGTCGATGCGCACTGACTCCATTTCATCGCTGCAGTTGCTGCAAAAGATTGACGATAAATACATGGAACAAGGACAGGAACTCGTGCAGAAGCAAATGGAGGGCCTCATTGCCATGCTGGCGGAGTACACACTGCCGCAGCTAGCGGCCGCCAGAGAGGCTGTTGCTGCAGCAGCAGCAGCAGCTCCTAACGGTGATGATGCTGACGCTGATGCTGACGCTGACGCTAACGGCGATGATGGTGACGATGCGACTCCGCTGGGAGTAACGGAGAATGATGAAGCTTCCCCAAAGGAGAACAAGGCAGACGTCTCTGCCACTGAGGACACCAATGAGAAAAAGAAGCAATAGATGAATCCAAGTTGTATGAAATGCCCGTATATGTGTAGGAATGTGTGTCCTTTTACGTGTGTCTATGCGCTTTTGCGTGTATGGAGGATCCACGCATCTTACCTTCCCCCTAGAGTTTCGTTTATCACGTTGTAGGGCACCAAGCGGGGGCTAGAGGGGATCATGGTCCGCAAGTAGCTTATGTATTAATCCGTTGTTGTTATTGTTGTTTTTACCTGCACGTGTGCAGTGAGCGACGCAAAAGAGGGGTTGTTTGGGTGGCACACCCGCGGTCGGTTGATGTAACTGTTTTTTGTTTTTTGTTTTTTGTTTTTGTCGTTGTTGTTCCTTCATTACTTTCTTTTTTTGGGGATTGTGCCTTCCCACATCTTCTTTTTCCTAGACGATTTTTAACATTACGGCGCTTTAGCTTCGCCTATGGAGTCGGTCTGTGTTGGGTGGGTGGGTGTCTCTTTCTCGCTCCCGCTTATTACCAAAAAAGAAAAAAAAGATGAATTCTGACCCCGGTTTTTCCCCACAATCTTGCTTGGAGTTAAACAGATAAGTTACGCAAGCAATGTATGCCCGTATCTATTTTGGTAGCAATTACTGATGGTGTTGTCGCATGTCTGTTGTGTGCATCCGCCTGAGCGGATGCAAGTGGAGAGGCAAAGGGCGCATTGTAGTGCAAGGCATGGCGTGGTATATATATATATATATATAACGTGTGTCTAAGTTTCTGTTGGCACGATTTCCCTGTATTAACTCATCATCTGATCATCCACCGTATGTGCTCTTCGTCATTTGTGGCATAAAGTGTGTTTGTTGATTAGTATAAGGAGGGCAAAGACAAAACAACAAAAAGGTTAATCAAACAAACAACAACCCCGCCGCCGTCGTCGTCGTCGTCGTCGTCGTCGTTGTTGTTGTCGTTGTTGCTGCTGCAGGGGGCAGTGGTGTAAAGTAGCCGCCGTGGGAGAGGCGGCGTGAGAGTTGCGCTGAGAGATGAATCGCGTGGGCGGGTCGGTGTACGCGAACGCCATGGCGCAGTTTGCGATCTGCCGTCAGCCCTGGAACGAGTACATTAACCTCCTTACCAAGCAAGACGCGGCGCCCTACCACGTCGAGCCGCATGATAAACCGGCCTACAGAGGGCGTAAGCGTGGACGCGAGGGTTGGCTTTTCGGTCAGCAGGTGCAGCTGCACTATCACCGGTTTCCCGACGAGCAGCTGCTTACAAATCTCACCCGTTGGCGCACAGGGGAGACGGTGGGTGACGTTGCCCTGCAGCAGTTTAGAAACGCCCAGCCTTTTGACATTGAAGATAAGGACCCGCAGGGGATGCAACGCCCCTCACCGGAAGTGTACATGAAACTAAACTACAAGAATCCGGCCACCATCTCTCGCTTCCTAACCCGCACAGGGCACATGTACCCTGCAGATATTCTTCCACTCAACCCGGAGGCTGTTGTGAAGCTTCGCCTGGCAAAGGCACAAGCCATACGAATCGGCCTTTACCCGCGTTTTGGCAATCCGTTCTGGTTCCGCTCGCAGAAGTTCCGGCCAAAGGCGTATCAAGAGAACTACGATCCTACGACGTACTCAACGAAGCACACGATGGAGCACTTTGCCTACAATTGGGTTCAGACAGACCGCATTCGACGGTACTTCAAGGAGCTGGATGCGTTGCAGAAGGATGCGTCGACGGGTGCTCGCGGTGGAAGCGCCACGACGGCAGAGCAGAAGCAGCAGGAACAATTTTACGCCCCGGAGAACCAGTCCATCTCTATGCACCGCAACAATGCGTCGTACACGGCGGATGTGGAGCGTTCCATAAAGAACCCGACGGTTCCGGGTCTTATGTCGACGAAGGGCATGAAGAAGAAGTTCCACAACTTGTACTCCTCCACGTCTACGAAGCGGATGGGATTCTCCAACCCTACCTTGGGCATCAAAAAGGTGTGAGCCCCCCCCCCCCCCGTCACTCTCAAGCGGCATTCAGAGTCATGGCGTGGAACTCTCATTGTCGTTGTCGTTGTTGCTGTTGCGGTATCTCAGGAAGGGATGTCGTTTGTCTCTCTGCAGCTGCCCTTTTGTTCATCTAAATTCTAATGCCTGCATTATACGGCATTGTATGTATGTGCAGCTTTTAGTACGCTCTAGGTATGTGGTGTCTTCTATTCGTGTTAAATTATCGCGTTTATATATATATATATATATTTCTCTCTTTCTCTCTCTTGCTTTAGCCTTGTTTCCTGTACTCCCGTCATTGCGCGGCAGCTCATTGTGATTCGATAAACCCCAAATATAAAACCTTGTACGCAAATACACTAATATAAGCAAAAATGTATCTTGTTGAAGTCGGCATTCAAAAACTCCGCGAGGAGCTCATGACCCCCGAGTGGAATGTTCCGCTCATCTTCGTTGGTGACGTTGGCGGGACGAGCGCACGCTTGGGTTTCGCGCGCCACAACAAGGACGATTCGTTCTGTATCGCCATCACGCGGTACCGCATGAAAAGCAAGGACATTGCGGAGCTTTTGAAATTCTTTAAAGAGATCCTTGAAGTGATGCCTGCCTCGATTATTGCACGTGTGACGGCGGGCGCGATCAACGTGCCTGGTCCTGTCACGAATGGTGCTGTGGGTGGACCCTTTAACAATCTGAAGGGGCTTGCGCGCCTGTCAGACTACCCGACTGCACTTTTTCCGCCTGGCCGCAGTGCCATTCTTAACGACCTCGAAGCGGGCGGATTCGGTGTTTTGGCTGTCAGTGACGCACACATCTTCCCGGAGTACTTTGAACTGATGTGGGAAGGCAGCCAGTGGCGCGCGTGTGAGCGGCAGGCTGCGGGGTCCGTTCTTGGCCGTGGTCGCTGCGTTGTACTGGCGCCTGGCACTGGACTTGGCTCCTCCCTCATCCACTATAACCCCATGGGCCAGCAGTACGTCGTTCTTCCACTGGAGCTTGGCTCGCAGACTCTCTCAATGCGGAAAGACATCGACTACATTGAGACCCTCAGGGCAGAGCTGAAGCGTCTTCCCAGCTTTGAGAACATGGTGAGCGGGGCCGGGCTGGAGTTTCACTACAGGCAGGCGGTGGGTGGACTCAAGCCTCCGCTCTCAGCCGCAGAGATTGCGAAGCTTGCAAGTGAGGGTGACGCAGCCGCCTGTAAGGCTTTGAAGAAGTTCAACGCGTACCTGATGCGCGTTGGCAGCGAGGCAAGCATGGCCTTTGTGCCCCTCACCATTGTCATCATCGGGGACAATGTCGTGAACAACAAGTTCTTCTTCGAAAATCCAGAGAACTTGAAGGAGCTCCGTCGTGAGGCACTCAACCACGAGATGGAGCGCTTTGGCTTTCAGAGCCGCGTGACTTACCTGCGCCAGAAGAAGCTGTTAAACCTGAACCTGATTGGCTGCTACCAGTGCGGCCATAACTTCACCGCGAAGAAAACTCAGCTGGCGAAACTGTAGTCGCGACAAGGACCGCAGCCTCCCAGAGACATTTAGGTGTGGGTGACACCAAATCGCACTATTTACACAAAAAAAAAATATTTTTAAATAATAGGTAAGAGAGTGGAATAGAAGTAAAACAACAAATTGGCGCCGTGTGCCCACCTGTCACTTACCCATTCACGGTGATTCTTTATTGGAATTGGGAGTTGGTACTTATATCTTCTTCCTTTCCTCCTTTAGGTTTTTTTCTGTTTTTGTTATTTGTATATGGTCTGAGGGGGAAGGGGACTGAAGACACCGCATCCTGCACTTAAGTGTGTCTGTGTGAGTGGAGGGGGTGTTGGAGCGAACAAAGAACATCAATGTGTTGTTTTTTTGTTTTTTTGTTTTTTTGTTTTGTTTTGTTTTTCCTTCTTTTCTCTGAAGACGTGGGTACGAGGGAGCGCATGGAAAACGGCAAGCTGTATGTGTGTGTGTGTGTGAGTCATCCAACGACCGTCCCTTTTATAACCCTCCAGAACAATAAAAAAAAAAAAAGGTGACTCCTTGTAGAGCATCGGCAGAAACGACGGTGACTTTGCTTTCTTTCATTATTTCTCTCTTCCTTTTCCATTCCTTGTCGCTTTCAATGGGGCAATCGAAAAAGGTCTCTTTCCCACCCCTGAATGGTGACGTGGACGCCGCTCACGGCTTCACTTCCTCGATGACAGGCATAACCGGATCAAACCCGGGGCACGTCGACATCGCGGAAAAGCGGGTGCTGTGGGCGAGTGTTCAGCAGCAGCTGGCGGCACGTGTTTGTGTACCACGCACCGTAGGAATGCTAGAGCAGTACACAGAAGGGGACGCAGAGGAGGCAAACTCGTTCACTCCCACCTTTGCGCTTCCACAAAGCCTGCTAGATGAATTTGATGCGACAACGGTACTTGGGCCGCAGTTGCGGCGTGACGCCGAACGTCGGAAAACCGCGTTGCTTTCGTCCCTCTGGCCGTTGCGGTACGTGGGTGGAGTTGATATTTCTTTTATGAAGGGGACAACTCTCGCGGTGGCCTGTCTAGTTATCATGGAGTACCCAACCCTGCGGCTGTGTCACACATACTTCCATCAATGCGAGGTAACGGAGCCGTACATACCCGGTTTTCTAGCCTTTCGCGAGGTTGGGCCACTTGTGGAGTTGATCAATAAGGTTAGGGGCGAGTCTTGCGAGGAGGAGACGGGATCTCTTTATCCACAGCTTCTCCTCGTGGACGGCTGCGGAGTGCAGCACCCGCTTCGCTGCGGACTCGCCAGTCACCTGGGTGTTACTTTGGATCTCCCTACGATTGGCTGTGCTAAAAGCTTCATGGCTGTCGACGGTATGACGCGTGAATCAATGCATCTCCTCTTTGCGGCCAACGACGATGGTGCGTGCGGAGCTACGACGACTTCGGCACCGCTCGTGAAGCCGATGATTGGGCGGAGTGGCGCGCTGTGGGGCTACGCGGCCACAACAAACCCCGGCGTCAGGAAGCCCATCTTCATCTCCCCTGGTCACCGTGTCGGATACGCCGAAGCAGCTGCATTGGTGCTCTCCATGTGTAGGCACCGCGTCCCTGAGCCCATTCGCGCCGCGGATCTCAGTTCACGCGACTACGTTCGACGGATGAATCTGAAGTAAAGACAAAAGCGGGGCTTGTGGGAACGTGACGGTTTTGCTGCAACATAAATGCCAAGGTGTATGCGCATATCTTTTCGCGAGTGCTGTGGGAAAACATGAAGGCATCTGTCTTTCGTTAGCCTACGAGTCAAGCCTTTTCTTCTAAAGCACTCTGATGGGCGAAAAAAAAGTGCGCCCAATTGAGTTCGATAAAGTGAGTGAGCCATTCCTTCCTGCAGGATGATTACAGTGAAGCATCAACGGTCTTTTTTAATTACTAAAGACACTCAACTGTTTCTTACCTTTTAGTTTTTTTTCTCATCATGAAACCCTGTCGTCACACCGTGCGCACGGGGGTGCAGTGGTCGTGGGCCCCGCTGAAGACTGCCACTTCGTCAGTTTTCAGCAGCCCCGGCCATTGCGGAGTTCCTTGTGAATTTGTTTGCTGATGCGCTTGCCAGTTAGCCATGCAACTCATTTGCACTGGTGTGTTGGGCGCCGTGAGCCAGACCGTTTCTTTTTCTTCCTCTTTTACTCCGTGCAGGCGGACATGGCAAGGCCTTGTTCAGGCGTTTCCCCTGCCCATTGCTTTTAATGCTCGGCGCCTTGGCAGGGCTGCCGGTCGTGGCGGACTCCGCTGTGGGTTATGGGGCATTGCGTGGCTTTCAATGGCGTGTCTTGATCGCAGGCCGCGATGGGCGGAAAAGAACTGCCTCGCCGGGGAAACGAGGGCCACGGCGGTGTGTGTCGTTCCGTCGCCGTCAGTTGGC